GCAGTATGGCTTTTAGGCCTCGAGTGATTGAGAACCGAGGCATATAGTGTGTTTAGAATTACAGGAATGCCACCGCATTTTGATACGTTTCGATTTTGATGAAACCGAAGCGTAATGTGCGAGAATCTCCTTTTTTTACTAGTGACAGGTTCACATAACAAATTAGAACACCAAAATCTTATTTAAAGGCTTATCCCAACAAACAATATTCTTTAAATTTATTGAACTTTTAAAATTTAAATTTTGTGTGAGAATGACTCGTCAAACAAATTTGTATGATTCAAAATTTCAAGAAATATATCAATCAAACCAATTTGTCTTGTTAGTATAATTCTACTTCATTCTCGTGTAAAAAATAATACATTTACCTGTAAATTGAACTAATTTGGCTAATATCATGTATCTTAGTTTATAAATTCTCACACAAAATTCATGAAGACACATAGCATGCACCAAACTAATTATTTATTCTCAAAAATTAACGATTCTAAAATTCATTAACATAACCAATTTCTCAAATTAGAAATGATATCCAGATCATCCTTACAACATAAATCATCTAACTTAAAAGGCGTATGAGAAAACTTATTTCTCTTATATATAGACTGAGGTTTTTTTTTTATCAGAGCTCAAAAAACTTCCATTCTTACAAAAATGTTATACATGTACACAAAATACTTAGATTAATGGTCTATCATAACAATCCTACTAGACAAACAAAAATTCACTTTTAGTCTTATTGAACCACATGCGTACATCACCCTTCTATGCATGTTCAACTTCTAAATTTGACTCAAGAAAATAAAACATAAACTTATTATTATAATAATTATGATTAGACAAAATTATGCTCACTAGTACAAAAATAACATACAACGTCAAATATTTTGGGCTTTTAACGGCGAATTCGTGACCGACGTAATATCGGTAGACGTAACTTTGACGTCAAATATTATAGGCCGACGTTACTTGTTTATATACACGTCGAGTAGTAAAGCGCACCACATCTAATATGTAAATAAATAGTTATATTTAAAGGAAGATTTGGCGTCCACTATAAGGGGACGAGACATAAAGTTGACGTCTAATAGAAAAAGGTTGGACATAAAGTTGACGTCGAATTATGTAGAACGACATTACTTGTTGTTTATGGACACGTCAAGTGATAAAGAGTTCGACGTCTAATATGTGAATAAATAGTTATATTTAAAGAAATATTTGGCATCCTTTGTTTGGGTACTTAACGTAAAGTTGACGTCGAATTGTATGGGCATCAATGTTACCGTTGCTGAGCTAGAGAGAACTCGACCAGCGTTGCATTGCATATGGTAATCCACTGTAAATGTTTTAACGTCAATCAGTGTACATGTGACGTTAATATATGTATATTTACGTCGAGCAGTGTATAGTTCGACGTCAACGCTAGTGTTTTTTTAAAATTTGGTTCGTTTTTGTTTATTTAATCAGACTTGAAATATAGAAACCAGTTTTTCAATTTATATATTCACAAAATTCATCAATTCACGGTTTAAATCATGCTATTGTCAATTCATCATAACCAATTCAAAAGTAAAACTAAAAGATTAAAGCAAATGCTATCATCAAAACAAAAAGAACCCAGTTTTCAAATTCATATATATTCACAAAATTCATCAATCAATGTTTATTTAAACCATGCTGTTATCAATTTATAAGTAAAACTAAAAGCTAAACATATGATATCATCAAAACAAAAAACACCTAAAGCTAGAGCTATTTAAAATGTTGATTCAAATATTTTGTCTATTCCCCTCTTATCTTCCTTATTACGGCCTCTGGCAATAAAGTGGTATTGTTGAACCACTGCAAAATCAAGGAAACTTTATTATTAAATTCATTCAAATGTGAAAAGTTTATTGGTATTTGTAAGATTTCAAATGTAAATTTTTACCTCAGTCCATTCTGTTGTGATTCGTGTTCGGAGGATTGTCTTCATCCATGACATGATGTAGTAGCCACATGCCCAGGAATCTGTCTGCTTGTTACACTAAACACGTGAAAGAATTTATTTACAATAATAACACCGATCATTGTTAACGTTGATTATTCAACTATGAGATGTTGGACGCGTGCTGTTATACACAATTTTTGTAGTAGTGACTCCTCTTTTCTAGACTTTTTATGACAAACTTTGATATTGGAAGATGATTAAGTTCTTAAAAATCTTAAGTCAAACAAAAAGAAAAATATAGTTTAAAAAAATAATTTTAGAAAAATTATATTCATTATAAAATAAAATTTGAATAGTGAACTTTTTTTATTTATATATTTTGTATTTTTATAATAAAATATTCAAGTTTTACTTGTAAAAGACACTTTTATTTGTAACTATTTTTTAGATTTTACATTTTACATTTATATTTTTTAATATATATATATATATATATATGGTAAATGATTAGACATGCATGCTTGATAAACTTAATCACGTTTTTAGGCACTCTTGATCAAGACGTTATGGCCCCACCATACATCAGGATACTTAAGTTCTATCCAATGTAATTTATAGTTAACTTTAGAAAATAATAAATAATTGAGTATTCTCCATTGCTTCTTAGAAAAGCCTATGTTGGGAAACCAATCAAAGGCGAAAGAAAAAGTAATAAAAAACTTCACATAGAGAATCGACAATTTTCAATTATTATAGAAAGAAATATCTCTATATTTTATAATTATAATTAAACCCTTTAATAGAGAATCAGCATTGATTGCAATAAAAAAAAAAATCTAAACTACACTATATTTGCTGTTATTACAAACATTATTGTTTGTCAAAGTTTTAAAATAATTACGAAAAGAGCTGAATTATTAAAATAATTTAAAATAAAAAACATATGGAAATTTTGGAAAAGGTAAAAAAGTTAAGAAAAAAAAGGCGGGATGAGAAAAGAGAAGTAGTATTTTTACTACACGACTTCTACCTAAATAATAAATAATAATATAATATAAGCAGGATTTACATTAAAATCGTGAAATGTAAACACAATTTTAATTTAATAAAAATTATATTAACATTGTCAATTTCGTACACGATTTCAGTATTTTTGAATTTGTAAAGAAATGGTTTCATGCTTCCTCGATTCTCGCTTAAGCAGAAATCATTCAAACCTTATATGAAATGAAATGAAGGTTGTATTATTATTCATGTTCACATTTATCTTTGACTATTCTATTATTGAATTTAGTGTCAAAAATATCTTTGTATGTACCTTATTAGTTGAATAAGGTCAACGTTTTTTAAAGTAGTTAAACTTCCTACCAAATTATTTTAGATACGTTTCTGCATTCTGCACGAGAAAACTAAAATCAAGGGAAAAACTATGCATAATTTACTTCATTTATACTCTTTTGATCTCCTATCATTAATTAAACCATTGGGTGTTGTTTTTATTATATATTAAAGGTTTAAATGTGTGTGTGTGTGTGTATATATATATATATATATATATATATATATATATATATATATATATATTTCTTGAAATTTAGAGTGATTATAGTTTTGATGTTTTTGATGTTCAAATTTAGAAAAACTCAATTTTAATCTCTTAAAATTAAAAAAAGATGTAGTCCTTCTGATAGATATTGAAATAATTATTTTAAAGTCAAGAATTAAAACTTATTTTAGTTCCTCAAATTTATAATTTAAGAACTAAAACCAGATTTTACTAATAAAACGGTTTTTTCTTTAAATTTGACGGATTGGAAAAAAAATATTTACTCCATATTTCAAAAACAGAAAAGAAAAACATATATTAGTTTATGTTTTTTCTTCACTTTTAATCCTTAATCCATGATATCGTTTCTCTCTTTCTCTTTTACAGTTTAGTTCAAACACTGATTTTACATTTGTTTTAAAGAAAAACTTAATTAATTGAAATGTATAGAATGTAATTAAAATCATTTAATAGTAATATTGGTCATCTTCAATAACTATTATTGTTTTGATGAAAGATAAATCTGACTTTGTGAAAAGCAAATGAGTTCAGTAGTGTCTTGATTATGTCTAAACAGATACTTAGGGAGTGAAATTGCTAAATTATATAATTATATATTCTTAAGGATTGATAAATGAAAATGTCTTTCAATGAAATAAACTGGTGTGTGACAATTACTGGTTGCCATTTCCATTCTCATTCACATGGCAGTCGTTGACCCTCCGAGAAACATGGAACAAAGTTCTCACAGCACAATCTTGCCACAAAATACTAAAGGAACATGGTGACGGTGGACTGAAAACGTGAGAAAGAAGAAACACGCATGTTGACCAAATTACAGTACTATTAATAAGAAACATATTTATGAAAATATTGAAAATGAAACTACTTATTCAATATGAATTAAGATATGTTGACTATTTAAGAAGTTTTAAAAGCATTACTCTATCGTGAGAGAGCCAAGACTCGGCTCAATTTAAACAATTCAACTTTATTTAATAAATATATACCATATATTTTATTCAAAATATTCATAATTATAGGTTTAAAAGGATAAAAGGTTATGTGGTTAAATAATAGACAAACTAAGTACGTCTTTTTTAAAACTCAAAATTATATATCAATCATTAATTTTTTAAGAAAATATTGTCATTTTTTGTAATGTTCCTATGTATTTTGGTACCATTCAAAATACATTTTTCTATGAATTTTGGAAAATCAACCTTCCTTATCATTGTAAAAAGATAATTTAACACGGGGATTGTTAGTTTGATTGTTTATATTTTCTAAAACAAAAAAGAATGTGTTCGATAAAAATATTTTTTAAATCTATTCTCAATACTCTTTGTTAGTTTTTAAAAGGAAAATAAAATAAATTTCTCTTGTTTTGGTCTTTTATTTTTCATTTTTTTATTGGTCATATTTTTCCATATTTTCCCCCATTTCCATCCTCTAAAATTAGTATTTGAACAAAAACTAAAGAAAATGATGCACATACACAACGAGTTAGTTCATACGAGGCACAGTACAAACAAAACCAACGTATCATTTACAAACACAAATAAAAGGCCACACCACCATACATCTGTATGACAACTATAATGGCTCAATAAGTTTTAAAAAAAAAAACTGCAGAAATAACAGGTTTTCCGTTGTTCTTGCCTCTTATTGTGGTGTGATAGACAAGTTCAATATCGATGAGATATACTTGTCTCTAAAAGATATACTGTGAGTTGAGCCTTGCCAAGAATAAAAGTCAGGCAAGCTACTAAAACACCAATCCAATTAACGTCTTCAACCATTGCAATGTTCAAAACGTTATATGCCGCTTCCTGCAAATTTCCCAAGCTTTATAGTAATACAATATGAGAAAAAAATTATTTATCTAAGAAAAAAAAATGCTCAGGTCAATTACATTCAAGCTTTAAATATATGCTACAGAAAACATTCATATCCAGCTTTCCTTTGCAGGTCAAAAGCAAAGGGAAGGGGGAGAAAGGGTCTGTAACTTCTAATAAAATATTGTATGTGGAGATTAAAGATGATATGCCAGTGAAAACCGATGATATTTTAGTATTGCAGTCGGGTGATGTCATGACTAGTTAGATTATAGACAACAAATTTTTAATTAATACATTTAATCAAAGTGCAACTTTTGAGTCGTACAATTTTTTATCCAAATTTACCCAAGTTTCTATACGTTAAAAGTAATAATTTTGGTCCTTTTAGGGGAATTTTGTTCTTCATCCATTATGTTCATTAAAATATGGACGGTAGGAAATTCACAGATTATCAAATATACGAGGACCAAAATCGCTGTTTTTAAAATTCGGAAACTTAGACCAAATTTAACTCAAAACATATTTTATCCATTTATTAAATACTCTGACTCTGGTATACGCAAAGTTGTCTAAGAATACCTCTTCGGCTGTCGGCAGCGACCTTCATTATCCTCTTGGTTCCAAATATCAACACCGGCCTGTTTACAGTGTACAATGAAAGAAAATACGAGAAAGAAAATATCTGTATATTGTAAACGCACTTTTAATGGGAGCTACAAGAGCCCATATATATATATATATATATATATACACAAGAGGGAAACTGAACTGCTATAACAGATAAGCAGTTGTGGTTCATACATTTAGTGTAACAAAGACATGTCGACCAATATATCCCCACAATAAATTATGACAGCAACTTATCAGTGTGTCTAGCAGACAAGGTTTTATATTATTATCAAATGAAATTCCAAATCCTTAATGTTTTTTTCTATTCATTACAAGTATAACGCAAAATCCTTGCCCAACACAATTGCCCTCAAAATTTAAAGTCAATATAGAGATAGAAGGGCAGGTTGGATATGATATTTATGCAGACAGTTATCATCTTAAATATAGAGTGCAATATATTTCTGGGACTATTTTTTTTCCCTCCCTCGTAATAATAAACGCTTTTCCTCTTAAACATCTTCCAGTAGCCAAACTACCCCATCCCATATAACTAACTGCATACATTAGAGGGGTTAATCCAGCAAAGAAAAAATATACAGTGGAGGGATTCAAGGAACTGACTGACCAACCTAATAAAACTAAATTAAATCAGCAGAGCGATATCGTTTTTCTCAAATCCGGGCGTTCAATTTTGATTACTAAATTATTTTTTACAGAGTCCTGTCCAAAGTGAGAAATAGTAGTATCAAATCCAATAAACAAAACCAATTAGTTGTTTTTTATCAGTTAATAAAGAAATTGAGTTTTTCTCCTTAGATAAAAAATTCTGTACAAATTTTTTGTAATATTTAACAGATACTTACTGGTTCCATTCAAACATAAAGACCGTGTTAGTAAATCAGCCATTCAGAAGGTTTATATCAAAAAGAGAAAGACTGGTAATAGAAGATGAGAGTAGGAAAATACTTGAGTTATATATATTTGTTTTCAGCAATTTGTCATAACCATTTCCGTTTATGAATCCACCTACTATTGAGCTACAGTGTGAGGATTGATTTGAATTAGATTTCCGTTTTTCTTACTAATTCTGATCCAGTTCTGTCAGAATTCCACCAATGAATGCCCAAAATAGGTACTTACAATCAGCCATAATGAGAAAAAGATGTATCATGATCTCACATGAAACTTCTAGGCAATCACCAGAATAAAAATGGGAGAAAATTATAGAATGCAATTGTGGGTATTAGGTTTGACCCTAAGTTTGCTAATTGAGTTTTAAATTAAAGCAAGGACGTTATCCAGAACAAATCCTTTACACAACTTATCCTGCTTCCCACAGGATACATAATCAGTTATGGGAACGGCCTACAAGTTATATACAAGATCAAAATTACATGTAAGGAATAATTTATTGGACATTTTCTCATCTGTATCAGGGAGGGGGAGGATGCTGAGAAAAGAAAGGATGAAAATAAACTCAACTGACCTTTACAAGATTATTCTTTACTTCTTGTAGATTCTGTTCCACACACTTCTTTTTCAGTTTCTCAATTTCATCCCTAGCATCAGTCAATATTATTTCCTCTTGAAGTACAACAAGAAGAATTTCTGATGCAGACAACCTATGTTTCCCAGTCATAAATTATATTTCAGTAGTATTCAGGAGAGGAAGTCTATCACATTCTAAACATTAGCAGAACGTACATAATTACCGTTTTGAAAAGTTCTGAACCATGAACAAGACAAACAAAAATGGTAAGTAAAAACCTAAGAATCAAAAAGCTTTCTATAAAATACAAAATTTGAGATATGTTGATAACTGGAAGTTCAAACTAACTTCAACATATCTTGAATGCTGAGAAAACTATAATACGGCCTATTTTCAAAAGAGGCCAGACTCCAAAAATTCAATATTCCGAAATAACAAGGCAGTGAAATTACAGCTTTGCATTGATATTACCACTATCAAGTCTTACTAACCATGGTTACCATCAGATGAGGCAATTCAATTACTAATAATCAGGCATATGATCAAATTCAATCTCCTACTCTAAGAAAAATGCATCACCAGTTGGAGAGTGTCTGTATCATACTCCCAAGGTTAGCAGGACTCAAGTCTCTACATGCTGCAAACTGGACCTGAAATGGTCCTAAAAAGTCAACTAAATTCCTATAGGGAACTTGTTAAATTAAAAGGCACAAGGGAGCAAAAGTGAAATTTTTAGAAAATAATAGATAACGATTGGCTAGGACCACAAAGCATTGTCGCAGATGATCCAGCTTTCCTCTTACTAGTCCCTGATGAAATCCATAAAGCTTATTAATGACTATCTTACATCTTCTGCTGAATGACTAGTCAGAAAATGTTATAAAAGAAAATAGCACAAGCCAACAGATAATATTAAAAATTAGCAGAAAAAAAGGTAACATAATTAATGATGAATATATTTATTTCACATTTATAATGCAATTTATCATTGTAGCAGAAGAGAATTAAAGGATTAGCAGAGGACTGAATGAACATTATAAAACAAAAAAAAGGGGGGAAGGAAGACCATTTCGATGCAATGTATCTCTATGCATTAACAGTATAAAATAGATCAATCACATAACCATTGCAACAATGTTCTCAGATCCCCTAGTAGCTGTTGCTTGGATTGTAACACTGATTTATATTAAAATAAATTATTCCCTTTATATGCAAAGATCTTATACAAATGTACCAAAAAAGATCTTGCAAAGAATAATACCAAAACGTCTCCATTAGTTCCTTTAACAGATTGTATGTGATTTATGAAACTTACTACGGTTTTTGCTGATGTTTTCTTGCACAAGAATTAAATAACAGTGTAGTGGATGTATTATACTCTCTCCTTTTTCCAGTAGAAAGATTTGATGTTATTATACCCCCGAAATCCTCTCCCTCTTCTAATGAATTATTTTATTATAATAGCAATGAATAAATAATCATAAAAATATTAATATTAATTGCGGAAATTCACATCCCCTTAATATTACCACATTTGAGTTTGAGCAGAAATATATTATCTTGAAGAGAATGATGCCTACCGAGTACATGCATTCATCAATCAGAAAATCTTGAAGTTCACTAACATTTGTCACATCTAACTCCTGCATCAGTTGGTCATACGGTAGTACCTAAAGAAAAATAAACACACTTACAGAATTTGATTACAAATGTCAAAAAAGCAAAAGTTGTCAGAAAGTTACTCATGTTCTATGAGAAAGAGATGACAATTTAAAATGATGACTTCGATTAAACAATCCTACACAATCAAGAAATAGATTCCAAGAGTTGGATCCATTTTTTATAAGTTTACAGAGGACTAAAGGGAGGATAAGATATTCTCCAAGTGTAACTAAAAAGAATATATCCTCCAAAGAAGAGAAAGCTGATTTCTCAAATAGTCCTACAGCAAAACACCATGGACGAATCATGAACAAAATGATAGCAAGCCCTCAAAGGACACAGACATGCCCAAAAGCCCTCTTTGCTAAAGGGATAATTGAGTAGTAATCTGCATGGTACAAGTGTAGCACATATTATAGGACCGTTGGGTCTTCCTTGCTATAAGAAGCTTAGTACATGTCAGCTTAAGTTCAGTCAAGATGCTGTTAGCTTAGTCAAGGTTAATTCCTCGACATCTATTTTTTAAATATTTTTTTGGTGGGTGTTTATTTCATGTTGAACATGATCATGGATATTCTTCAGCCACCATTGCCGAGGTTACTCTTTTGCTCAGTATTATTTACTAGCTAACATTAGTGAGTGTTTTCTTTGTCAACATCAAGAGTATTTTTCGTGTGGCCAAATAATTGTCTTGGTTGATGTTAACTGGGATTATTTTCAATCAAAGTTTATCAAAGTTAACTGGGATTTTATCAACTTTACTAAAAAGTAGGTCTTGATTATTTTTTGACCAACATCATCAGGGTTTTCTTGACCCACAATGGCTGCATTATTTTTTCTGTCGATGTCAGCCAAGGCTTTTTTTAGCACCTTTGGCTAATGCAAGTCAAAGTTTTTAGTCAACGTTATTAGGGGTTATTTTTGCTGTTGACCTTGAGATTATTTATCTTCCAATAATGTAGGCAAAGGATATTTGTTAATAGAATCTTCTTGACCAGTGTTGGTGAAGCTATTTTTTGTTGGATGTCAGCCAAATTTTTGCTGTTGGAGTTTATAATGATTATTTTTTGTCACTAGTATTATTTGGTTTTTAATTTGATAATTTTGTTTTTGATAGAAACTGAAATACTTAATTCAAAAAATAAAATTAAAACTCAATAAATTTGAAATGAAACCAATTGAAAAATAATGTGTTAGAACTTTTTTAACCTTTTAAAATTGTAAAATTCTCCATTTGAACACCTGTTAAATATAGGAGCATCAAGAATGAATATGAATTTTAGCCCGTTTCTTTTTTTTAAACTTGTTTACCATAGTTTGACCTACTTTATCTATCACAAAACCTAACCACATAACGATCTAAGGGTAACTGGAGAGCACCATTAAAATAGGCGAGTATTGCAAAGAGCACAAGATGTAAGAACTACAAGTAACTGTGTTGTACGCACATTGGTCAATTGTCTAGCAAATCCAATATATCAAAATGAATGACGAAGATTAAAAAGGTCTGCCAGAACGTAACAAATAGAATACAGAAATTAAAGCATGACAGCATTATCAAGTCCCCCACATTGATATGGGAACTAAACAACCATTATAACCATCAGTGCATAAGCACCTAAATTCAGGACCTAGCACACTACTGGGAAGGCGTGGGGGCTGGAGAATCACAAGGCAGACACAGTAGAAATAATTCATTTCTTAACCTAAATATATATGTGACCTTCCATTGATAACATTACTTACAACAATAAGGCAAGTCATCTGGAGTAGAGTAGGTCACGTACCACTCATTCTCACATTATAATGGTTAAGTGATCACCTCCAATAACAATGTAAAGAAAAATAGTAACACAAGATAGCCAATAACAGTGGGTTTAATAGGTAATACCTCGTATATCCCACAGATCCAGAAACAAAAGAAAGAATACCTCGTACGTGCTAGCCAGTGTAAGAACAGTGAGTTGCTTAAGCTTGAGGATCTGATCAGGCATCAATTGCGGAAGACGACCAGCATTATCTACGAGCCACTTAAACATTTTAATAAACACTATTATTTTATTTTTATTTACTTATAAGTTAATAAGGAAACAGAGATGCTAAAACAAAATAACAAAAATCATTACATGAGGATAAATGTACGAGTTTTCCTTGCAAACCACAAAGTAGAAACTAATACGACGTGTATAAAGGCTTCTTATATGCAGGGTACATCAAGCTTAGCACAGTAATAATGAGCTATGACTGACAAATCACAAAATGAAAAATATGCTTCTGTTGCAGCACACATACATTATATTATTTAGATGACTTATTAAATTTTTTCAAATGAGTACTCAAAATTTTTATGCTTTTTAATCGAGTTTTTGTTGTTTAATTTTTTCATTAATTAGTTATTTTGTCAAGTCATCTTATTTCCTTATTTCCATGTTTTAAAAGATGTGAGGTTTTTGTGATTAATATAAAACAATATTAAAACAATAAAAGTCTTTTGTCGGTCTACACTAATCACAATATTGTTTGCTTTATTAATCACAAAATCTCACATTTCTTATAGGAAATAGATAGCACGATAATGGGACAAGATAAAAGGGACTCAATTAAAAAATATAAAACTTTTGAATATACAATAAATAAAAGGGACTCAATTAAAAATATCTAAATTTACCAAAAAATTAGAACTTAAAACTTAACTAAGCCTATTAGAACGCATTACTTAAGAAACTAGTGATTTTAACGAATAGGAGTTCAAGGCAATACGTAAAAAATAAAAAATCCACCTCATCATATTTGATGGTGCTACGCCAATTCCAGAAACATGGCAATGACTTTAAAAAACTGCAATGTATACTAACAACTAAATTGTCCTGCAGATTTGTTTACGGCAAAAAGAACTACCAATATAGCAAGGGTATAAACATTAACTAACCGAAAGTAGGACAATTTCAAATACACTATAAGTAAAAATACAAAAAGGAGAAATTCTAAAACAATGAAATAAACGTCTAAAAATAATGACAAGTAATTAAATAAGTGGTAATATCACTAATATTGGTTGTCAACATATGAGTCGTCGTTTGTTTTCTTTATTTTTCAATCACCCTTTCATATAGTCTCATAGAAGTTCCAACTTTCCATCTCAAGTCGCCAACGTCCAGTGTTTACATTAAGAATTATAAATCCAAAATTCATTATTCTCCATGAAGATTCATCAAATAGTAAAGGATGGATGCTACAATTTGATCTGACACCTCAACAACATACTACTGTTGGAAAAGAAAAACAAACAACGAAGGAAGGCAAATACCCATCATAAATGTAGGGAGGGAAAAAAATAATATAAGAGTAAATCCATAGGCTTACTCTTGTAATCACTCCATGTTCCATATGCAAACAACTGAAGCATATCAAGATAAACACAGTTCTCAGTTGCTTTAAGCTGCAAGAAATCACGAGTGAAAAAATTACAGCAGGACATATAGCTAGGAACTATTTCACAGGGAAAAAAAATGGCGAAAACAGCATTCTCATATTACTCACAATTTTCATATTACCTAAAAAATATGGACAACAGAAATTCCCTAAAATAAATTATGCATTTATTTATATAATAATAATAGTAATTAAAAATGTTCGCCATAAAACAGGAATACACGATCAATTTGGAGCTAATCTCACAAATTTTCATATTACCACAAAAAATGGCAATCGCCTAAACTAAATACTGCCTTTATAATAATAACAACAAGAATAATTATTCGTATTATTATTATTTAAAGTACTAGCCATAAAATGCAACATAATCACAGTGAACGCGATCGCCTTAAATCAATAAAAAACACCAGAGAATTATGAAGTCAGTCCTGCTTTTCCAGTTCCCTTCACAAATCGAAAACTATCACTTTTAGAAGCAAACAGTGCGGAGAAAAATAGTGAAGAACCTGCTGAAGAGATGAGAGGGAGAAAAAATCTGAGAAAATGAAGAGGTTGCGGTGAGAAGTGGCTTCTACAAGAACGGAAGCTAGGACGTTAGCGCTGAAGGAAGAAATGGTTTTAATCACGAAGTGTTCCATAGCTTGCGATTGCATCTGCTCCATCTTCCTACAAAATCAATTCGATTTGCTTCCGTTTCGAATTTGAATTTCGAAGAGTAATGGCAGAACGAGGAGTTTGCTCGTTCTTAACTCTGGAAGTGAAAACAAAACGTATTTAATGAAGTTCAAAATACTTTTATATTCAAAATGTATAAAATTGCTTAAAATGTGTATTTTAAAATAACTGAATGTTTTAAGAGTATGATAAGATAAACTTTTCTATAAATATTTTTTTAAAATAAAGTATTTTTTATGTCAAAATTATTTATGTAAAGCCGTCTAGTATAATCGTATCAGAAAAAAAAAATCTAGTATAATAGTATTATCTGAATACTGATATATATATATATATTTAGAAAAATTAAAACCAAACTTTTACTTATTTATTAAAGCAAAATTTGTACACGACTGTCAAAATAAATTGATCTATAAATTTGTTTGACAATGTCCTTGGAATTTACATCGAGAGTAAATTCAATCCCAAATTGTTACAGTTTATTCATCTCGATTTAAAAATAAACAGATGCGATCTATACTAATTTTTATAAATTTAAAATAATCTTAAAACGTCTCTTGTTAATCTATCGTTGTGTCGAGTAATGTTATGAATTTTAATTTTAATAATTTGAACACAACATAATCTTAATTAGAACATATATTTTAAATTTAAAATATCTATTTATCATAATTATATACATATAAATATTTATATATTTATTGATTTAGAAGGAAAATGCGCTTTATTGATTTATTTTGTAATTGCATAACCAACGTGGTTTTTTTCTCCCGGCGCCCGAATCCGGTTGGGTTGTTGTGATTCCCTTTGCATTCCGAAACCTAACAGGATCGATCAACTTTGATGCACGATTCACAAAGCAACAGTGAAGCGGTGCAAGCCACCAACGATGACGCCTCCGGCAGCACATTGTTCGCCCATCTCCTTTTCTCTTTCTTTTTTTGCCTAAGACCAATGCATATGCAGGCTTTTTAATTGGTGAATTAGGAACGGGTTTATCTAGAAGCTGTTTTGTTTTTCTAAGCGTGTTTTTCCCGCGAAAAAATGACATACGAATATGATATTTTATTACGTTTTTGTCGGTTTATTAGAATTGCTCCACCCTTCCCACTTTTTTTTTTTTTTTGCCGGTGGTTAGATTCTAAAACTAATGAGTTTTCCATCATCTATTCTCTCTGAAATTTTAATTCGTTGTGTGTAAATATTTTCTTCTACTTCTTGGTTTTTGGCATTGTTTGCTTTCTCTAGATTGGCTTGTCAGAGGTGTTAAGGTTGCATTCAGACCTGGCAAGATGGATGTTATAGAAGGTTAATCTAGATGGTTCCTTTGGAGGATTCTAATGTGAATAAGCGTAAGCACTAATCTGGCTGAATCTTGTCTCATTATTACTGAATGGTTCTTTAGAGGCATAAAATGTTTTTGGTTTCTGATGAAATGTAACTCTGTATTGTATGTAAAAGAGAATGTTGATTATTCATGCACGACATGCCATGATGCCATGCTCAGAAATTAAAACATGTTTTTGAAAAAACATTGATTGGATAAATTTATTTTCTTGGTTGACTATCCAATTGTTTTTCACCTCATACGAATATTGATTGGAGCTCATGCATACTGATCCAATTCTAAATGAATGTTGATCCCAAATAGCAATCTGATTATGTTTACCCTCCTGTTCGTTAATGGTAAAAGTCATGTACTATGGACATGTGACATTGGTTCAGATAACTTTAATACTTGAATTTTTTTTTTTCTCATTTTTGGTCACTATTGAATTCAGATTTTAAATGAATTGCAATGTTGTTAACCATTAGTATTGTATGATAACTATTTCATCTGTATAAACTGGCTGTAGGTTATGTGTGCAAAAAGGGATACATGAAAGATGACTACATTCATTTATTTGTGAGAAACTCCAATTATTAATTGAGGTGGGACTTATGTTCTTGAAGGTATTGAATTGTTTAAGTTCCTGCTCTTCAACTTAGTAGTTTGTTGGTGCTTTTGTATTGTTTGTGACTATATTACTTTGCTCGTTGGGCTGTTATTTGGAAACTTCTGTTTCAGTTTCTTGATGTAGAGAAGAAATCAGATGAAGATGCCCCTGTAAAGAAGCAGATATTATCAATCGGAGCAGGCTTTTATGCAACATATTTTCAGTTGCACGTGCCATCTTGTGAGTTCTTTTAAGTACTTCACAAGTTATGTTTAAGAGCTAATTTGCTTGTACCTTTAAAATTATAGGTTTGCTATGTTTTGGAGACATGTGGATTGAGTGAATTGCATTTAAGTCTTGTTAAAATTATTTTATGTTCTAACATGCTATGAGTGCACTTTTCCTTTTTGTACCTGTTTGTTCTCCTGTGCTAAAGGCCTGCTGCCTTTCTAATCTTAATCTTTAAGAGACAGAATATCATACCTTGTGCAACACGGGACAAGGAGATTAGGAGCAAGGACTAATTTGAAAGTTCTCAAGCAACGAATGTGTTTTTAGCTGAGTTTTTTTTTTCTTTTGGAGGTGGAATATAACTTCCTCTCTACACTGTGTGCATTAATTACTTAATTTTAAGGAACGTGGACAATGGATTAGGTGCATCAGTGCATGAATGTGGAATTGTGGTTGATTAGTATTGCTGAGCTACTAATTGCTTGTTTACAAATTTATGGCTTTTGGACCTGTCTCTTCTTATTTGTGACTAGTTAGTGCTGGAAAATTTGAATTAGTGACATAAGGGTATTGTTGTTAGGTATGTAGTTATGTAAGATTATATCCAGCATCCATTCCAGCTTTTATGACTAAGATTTTGGTATTCTCTCCTGGCTCTGATGTTATTCTCTTTGTTTTTCCTGTTTGTTCTAATGGCACCGAAGGTAGTTTGGACATATTTTCTGTTGTGTCCTTGTATAGGTACTGTACTAATTGTAGAACAAACTCATACTTTTTCACCTAAGGTGAATCCGTTGCACTGTCTGAAACTTCTCTGCAAAATTTTTCTTATTATTTTTATTCACACTGTTGTAGGTTTATCGTTGCCTGTTGGTGAGGAAAAATGTTTCCTTCTTTACCCATGCGTACTATCAATGCAAAATAATTTGATTCGGGGCTTGATTAGAGCCTTAGGCCATTTTTTCCTTTGCTTTATCCTCTTGTTAAGATGTTTACAATTCTGTCACCTCTCCTTCTATCTCTCATTCTCTTCTGTACAATTCTGAAATTCTATTACCATTCATAAATAATTTATTTATTTGGAGGTATCAGCCACCTTTGGAAGTTCTAATTCAAAAAAAGGTTTTAAAGGCATTAGTGATATTTTATCATGTGCTTCTTCTGTTCTTCTCTTGTTAATTTCATGTGTTGTAATTTTCATTAATGGCAATAATTCTGAATTTAATAATTGGACAGCAACAGCAATATGTGTTTATTTACACAGCTTACAATAGAGTATGGAACTGACGTTTTAAAATCACTTTGAAAACAATACATCTCAATTTTATTATTGGAAAGTGATAACTTATTCCCTTTCACATGTTTTGACATTTAACAAATGGAAATGAGCAGAATAAACCAAGTTTGAGCGTAAGAATTCTTAATTTTCCTTGTCTTTGTATATTTATGTGTGCTCACACACAAAAAAATGAAGGTGAATATGAGTAGTAACTCTATTATCGTTACTCTTTGAGAATGATGATCCCATCTCCCTGTATATAAGGGTGGATGTATATTTGGTTTAATTTAAATTAACTTCGTATCTTTCTTGACCAAAGCATGATAAATTGATTCATTCTGATATTGTTATCTGTCTGCCAACTTTTATAATTGTAGAATGTGTTCTGATCAACTTGGATCCTGATTCAACTCGTGCAATTGTTGGTTGGGCTTCCTAAACTTTTTCTGCAGCAATATTTTTTTTGTATGAGTAGGTTAGAGCCTTCAAAATTTCTGTTCCTACTTCTTTTAGATGAATGAAGTACGATCTTCTTGGCATTATATGATTCGTTTTGCTAACAGATCCCACCCAGATGATGCTTTTGGAGAACAAATGATACGGAATTTAGAGGTATGTCTGTAAAAGAATTGTTTTATAATGTCTGATTTTTAGATTTCATTTGGCTCGTTTGAGATTACCCATACATTGGAAATGTCTGATCTCAAAAGTGGAATTTCTTGTCTCACTTAAATACGCACATACAGACAGCCATATGTGCTTTGCATTTTATGTCAGATTGATTACCCATGAATTGGACGTGTCTATTTTTCTAATTGCTGTCCCTATTTTGTTCATTATACTATTTTTTGCCCATAATGCTATGTTAAGTGAATCTTCTTTTCATTTGAATATTTTGATTTTAGTTTCTCTAGAACGTGTTTCTTTTAATCCCCAGGATTCTTTCCATTCGAACAATGGCACTTATGTAATGTTTTGGGTTTTATGATCTATACCATGGTTATCAGACGTGAAAATCTAAATAGATAGGCTCATGAGAGCTTTATAGACTTGACTCGTAGAGCTAGGGACGGCAAATAGACCCGTCCTCGTGAGTATTTTTCGAATCCATCTCCGTTTTGACGGAAATCCCTGAATTATTGGGTACTGGATATGAGTAATATCCGATTTGTGTGTGTATGGGCGGGTGAATGTATCTGTAAAGTTTTCTCATATCTCAATGGTTCGACTAATTCAATATATGAAAAGTTTTCTCATATCCCCAAGATACTTTTTGTCTTATTATATCCTTAATTGATGAAACTTGTTCCCACCTCACCCGGTTGTCATATGAGGCCCAACTCGGAGCCTCGTAAGTCACTACATCATATCAAAAAATAAATTCACTACAATAATTAATCAAAATTTGAACTCCATAATTAATCAAAGCAGTAAAAATAGTTCCATAACTCTAGTAACAAAATTTAGTAGACATGACTATTATATAAGTTTAATCTACACCAAATAGATATGTTTGTATAGTTGCAAAACATAAATTCTCACGACCATACTATTAAATAACTAAGTTAAAAAGCATCTTCAAGATTTTGTCTCCAATCCTCTAATGACATCATCTCCAAGATCATCATAATCTTCATCACCATCAAGCTCTTCCTTTGATGATAAGTGTGCATCATCGGCATTGGCTTAAAAAACAATGATATCAAGATCAAATGCATGTGGAGTTGGATCACTCGAACTTGATCCAGCTGTCAACATTTCCTCCATCACCTTGACCGTCAACTTCTTCAACCTCAACATTATCATCATCTTCAATTATCACTCATTTTCTCATATTTCTTGAGTGTAGCTTCAATATCTTTCTCCAAACTAAATAACGGTCCTCCCTATGTCTCACCATCAGCCCAAAAGAATTGCAAGTCAAGTACAAAACTAGAACAACAAATCTCTTCAACTCTGGAGTTTCATCTCCAAAGATCTCCCACCATCCTCTAGGAAGCATAACTTTCTTACAATCATTTTGTATTTTCCATAGAAGAAGTCCTCTAGCATAATGAAAGTCAATAAGTTGCAAATTAACTTTTTTCCTTTATGCAACATCCTTGATCAATCTTCTCATCTGCATATATACAGCCCTTCTTTTACCCTTAGAGCACCATTTCTGAAATTATGTTCATAGTGCAAATAGGGGGTTAAGGTAATATGCAGCTGCATTGAATAATTCTCTCGATTTTGCATCAATAATTATTCAGCTACCTTGAAATTTGTTACACTAACATTCAACTAAGTTAACTGTTTTTTCCTCTGTTTTTACTTATTTTTCTTTATGTTGGATCTGTTTTGTTCTTAAAGTTTTTTTATTTATTTCGTGCTTAGTTGCAAAAATTTCAAAATGACTGAAAGTAGGACTTGTTTATATTCTTCTGATGTCAATGTTGATGCAACCTCACCTTGACCTAGAAGTAAATATGTTGTAGGAAATAGGATGAGAGAAAACATGGAATAGATGTTTTGGGCAATGGAAAAAATGTTAATGTAATTATTGTTTAAAGACATTCAGTGGGGGAATTTTCAAATTCAAGCATCATCTTGTCAGTATTGATTATGAGTTTGAACCTTGTGCCTTGGTGTCACGAGAGCTTGAAATTGTAATGATGAAAGTTGTGGCAAAAGCTAAATCAATGAAGAAAGTAGGTTGAATAACATTGAAGGGTTTGATGATGAGTAAGTTGAAAGGGATACCACTCAAAGTAGTAGTAAGATGTTAAAAATTAAGGAAAGGAAAATCTACTGATGGCATTCAATCTACTTTAAATCAATTGTACAAAAGGGGATAAAGAAAAAGTTGATGCTGAAGCTGCTTCATTTTTCAACACATGTTTTGAAATGTTGAATTAGGATGGCATTGTTAAGAAGTGGACTTTAAACCTAACTCAACCCCACAAAACCGGCTTGTAAGGTGAGGTTTGCACCCACTTATATACTCTAAATTGGCCTTATCTCTAGTCGATGTAAGACTTCCAACATACCCCCTCACGTCGAGGTATATACATCTCGAGCGTGAGACTAGACATTAATGGGTGGTCCGATAGCGGCCTGATAGCAAGTGGAACAATATGTTTAACAAACAACAAATATCGCTAGGATAGACTCTAACCATAGTTCTGATACCATTTTAAGAAGTGGACTTTAAGCCTAACTCAACCCCACAAAACCGGCTTGTAAGGTGAGGTTTGCACCCACTTATATACTCTAAATTGGCCTTATCTCTAGTCGATGTGGGACTTCCAATGTGCATCATACTTATTTTTCATGTTATGCAGACTCTTACTAGTCTATATCGCTCCCATGAGTCTACATAGACTCTCAAGTTTGATAATCTTGGTTACGAAATCATCTACAAGGGAATACAACATGTGCCGTGTCGCATCATGTGAAGTGAGCCTCATAAACTTTTTGAGTGGAGAATTTATTTGCTTATAACCATCACTATACCTTGAGTTTTAGGTTGAGGGTTGATAATACATTATTTATGAATATTTTGGCCTATAAACATTGTTCAAGAACTCAAACTAGTAGTAAGAGGTTCAAAAATAAGGAAAGGAAAATCTACTGATGGCATTCAACCTACTTTAAATCAATTGTACAAAAGGGGATAAAGAAAAAGTTGATGCTCAAGCTGCTGCATTTTTCAACTCGTTTTGAAATGTTGAATTAGGATGGCATCATACTTATTTTTCATGTTATGTAGACTCTTACTCCTCTACATAGACTCTCAAGTTTGATAATCTTGGTTACAAAATCATCTACAAGGGAATACAACATGTGTTGTGTTGTATTATGCGAAGTGAGGCTCATAAACTTTTTGAGTGGAGAATTTATTTGCTTATAACCATCACTATACCTTGAGTTTTAGGTTGAGGGTTGATAATACATTATTTATGCATATTTTGGTCAATAAACATTGTACTTTTCATGGATAAGAAAGAATGTAATACATTATTTATGCATACTTTCTACAAATGTTTGACATAATTTTTCAATGTGACTAGAAGAATTGCTTCAACAAAAATGTCTCGTTTTACTGTAAGAACAGACTGTAAAATGATAACTGCTGCCGTTGTATATTTTATTGGTTTAAATTTGATTTAATCTTTTGCTCTTACTTATCCTATAATGGACAGACATACATGCATTTGTGGAAAAAAGTTGGTTTCTGAGTGGATAAATGAACCGTTTATTTGAATTATATATATCTATCTCAAGTGCATAAAAGTGTGTTCTAAATACATTCATGCGTTGGTTGATATTTCCATAGATAGTATGATCGTCAATGCATATGATACTGTAATATGACTTGACTTTCTTGTTTTGCACCAGAGTTGAGGTTGTGCTTGGGCATTCTACACCAAGGTTACTTGCAAAGGAAAAATAATTTCTAGACCAAGGATGGGGCAGGTATACAATGTAAATTTTTCTAGAAAGGGTCCTTTTTTTTAATTTTTTAAACTTATTACAGTGCATCTGATTGGTTATTCAATTTACAATTCTGGAAAAAACGTCTAAATGATGATAAATGGGTCATCTAGGCATGAATAGTCTTAGAACTTACTAGACTAAACTAGAAATGGTTGAGACTTTTGCAACTCTTGCTATCATAACGATTATCAATATCAGAAATGGTTCATCATGTAGTCTTAGTGTGTATTTATTCTACTTCGTAAGTAATACTATTTTATTTTTTCTCGGTATCAGATGTCTGTTGCCTGGGATGAATTAGATCTGGAAGTTTGTCTATAAAATTTACAATTGTTAGTGTTTTCTGGTGTTTTAATGATAAAGATTACTGATTAATAACAGTAGAGTTATCTTAGCAATAATAGCCTTGCGGCCTTCAAAAGTTAAAGAATAACATTCGTAAAACAAATTTATGGTATTCTTGTGTAGTCATCATGGTCCTTTCTGTTGTGTCTGACTAGACTAAGAGTACAATGATAAACTGTTCAGAACAAAAATATTCTTTGGATTGGGCAATATCTTTTTTAAAGTCATGGTGAACAAACATAATGATGAAAATAACCAAATTTCTTTGGTTGGGAGGGTGGTGGTCCCTCATCAACTCTGCCTAAATAAGCTTCAGTAATATTTGATTTTTCTTCTATCTCTTGGCTTCTCTTTTGCCTGGTTTTATATTCCTATCAGCATTTTAATCTGTTCAAGGTACTATGTTCTATCTATATCTTATGATTGCCATATGATGGAACGGCAGGATACTAAAGTTCATATCTTCATATGTAAGGCAGTTTTTCCCTGATCTTCTATCACCTCTCCTCTTTCTATCTACTTTATGGTTGGTAGCCTGTTTCTTTCTTGTAAATTTTGTAAAAAGATACTAAGTGTTAGAACTTTACTGTTTAGGATTGAACGGATGGAATTGCTTGATGAATTTGAAGAGTGGTATATGATGCAGGAAAGTCAGCTTTTTATAAATGTTCTGTTGATAATTGTTTGCTATAAAAAATGTATGAATTCTGTTGCACACAATTACTGGGGCCCTGAGTGGGGAATCTAGGCCAGAGTTAATCATCTCTCATTTTAAGTGGAAAGTGAACTGTTTGTTTTTATTTCTTCTTTTTAAGATTCATTGATCAGAGAGGAAAAGTAAATAGTAAATTTATAATAGAGCATATTAGTATGGAAACGTAATAGGGCAGCATGTCATTTAAATCAATACCGAAACAAATGGACCATGGGTAATATCTTTCCCTCCTGGATTGAAATTAGAGACCAAATCACTTTTACTGAACCATTTCTAGCAGTCTTAGATTAAGATGATTATGATGATGATGATGATGAGTGAATAGAAAATTTTAATTTGGAAAAAAAGGATGTGCTGGGGTGGGAATTGAATTCTGTTTCTGAAGATGATTCCAAACTAAAAATATAATATGGTACTCTAAGTTTTTTAGAGCTACACTGGACAAGCATTGACTGACTTTCACCTTTCATCCATGATGCAGGGTCTATTTGGGAATTTTGGTTTTGTTAATGACAACAAAAGTAGGTTTCCTTCCTCATGAAAAACGAGGATACAACACATATATTTATATTATATTTCTCTTGTGGTGACTGTAACTCTTAATACAGTCCAGGTATCACGGTGGCAGGTGCCAGCTCACTGGTATGTTGTCTGGCAAAAAGGTTTTCTGATCAACTTGTTAGTTATTGTATCAGAATTCAACTATTTGAGTAATTAGTATTTTTGTATAGATCCCTTCAGATATTGTTTATTTGATGCAAAACACATATACTTTATATTTTCTGATAACTGTATAGTAAAGAAAACGTGGTGGTGCCCACACAGCACCAACTGTTAAAGTCATACTCTAGGCCTGTGTGGGGATGTCCATGTGGAACAAATACGAAAATAGTGTGTAATGTTTTTGCTTTTGAGCAATTTTTTTCTATGCTTTGTATTGCTTTTAAAATCTTAAACTACTTTGATCATCAGTATGTTAACTCCAAAACTCTCAGTAAAGAAGGGGTAGTCCAAAACCAGAATGAAAAGCTGGTTCTGAAGGAGTATATTTTTTTAACCTTTGAAGTTTCTTAAATTTTTTTTAATAAAGATAAAAAGTGTATACAGTTATAAATTGTTTTGATAACTACTATTTTTTTATGAAATATAATTTAGTTATTTATATTAACTTGTTTATATCTTGATTGTTATAATTTTATATTATTTTATTTTTTTCAATATTATCAGAAGCTAAATTAATTATTACTTAACATTCAACCCATCGAGAATCATAATTTTCATTATAACATAATTACAGTTATTCAAGCATTAATGCTTGAGTTGTTAAATTATATGATCAAATTTTTGGAAAGTGTGTTGGTTCCTTCTTGATTGAATCTTTTATCAAAATTGTGCATAGTTGGGCTAAACTGGAACAAATTTAGTTTGTTACTGTTTTTTAAAATTTATATTTACATGATTCTTGAAAAAAATAACTAAATAATAATATAGTGAAATATCTTTGATTTTCACCTATAATATTTATAAGGCACTATTTTGGTTCCCAATGTGTAGACATTGACACATTAGACTGTATAATTTCAGGAGAGTTTTAATTTAAGTTTCTAATACGACAAATAAGTCTGCAACTCTAACATACATTTGGAGGTTGAAATGATGTTTTACCTTCCCAACAAAACGTGACTAAAACATTTTTTTTTAACAATTTATTAGCAATGAAACGACAACATAGTAAGTTACATTCGAAGAGAGAGGATGAAAACCGTTATTAGCAGTTATTAACAGCAATAACAATTGGATGGTGCATTGCTTATTGTTGCAGAACAATTACAGGGGACAGGACGCTTTATTGTTCAATTGATACAATCTTTCTTTCTTGGGTTTCCATCGAAACCAGCTAGCATGAATCAAACACTAATCTGTGTCCTAATACTTGTTCAAACATTAAGTAACATTTGAATCATTAAAGCTAAAGTAGGTAAAAACAAGAAAACATGTTCATTCTGAATAGAATGTAATTTTAACATGATGCTATTATAAGAATTTTTACATGGCAGGATATTTAAATTTATTATGTGTATTTTCGAACTTTACACAAATCAAATCTTATATAAGATTGGTTTATAGATTTGAAAGGTAAAAGAAGTTGAGCTTAATTTTCTCAAAAAAAAAAGTCTTAACTATTAACATTGTCCATAAAAAAATCTTATATATTATAGTTTACAAATTTAAAATAAAACATTCTTGATAGGCATGCACGGTTACTTATTTATATCATAAAATAAGAGTGAGCAGAATCAAAACGATGTCCACTTGAAAAAAAAAGAGTTTATCTTTGAACTTAGAAAACCTTCTTTTTCATTTTGAATTGATCTACGTGACATTAATTATTAGGACCACTTCTTACGCATAGTCACGCAGACCTGTGAAAATTTAAATGTATAGAGGAGTAACATAAACAAGTTTTGTCCCTAAAATCAAATAATAGGACGACAGATTATGTATATTTGCATGAAGTTACGCAAACCAACCAGTTTCCTAAATGGTTGTCATTCCTGTGTCAGCATGTTCCTTCCTCTAAATGGTTCACTCAGACATTATAAAAGACAAAGAAAAGAAGATTTTGTTATAAATTGGGTCCACATGAAGAAAAAATGAGCTGGGATTGGAATTTTAATGCTTGGAACTTGTTTTCGAAGGGGTCCCTGTGACTTTTTAGAAGAGAAGAGAAGAAATATTATTATATAAATAGTTTTCTCTGGATTAGTGTGTTGCCCCACCACCTTGTAGCTCTTTAATACTCTCTTATCAGCTTTTTATGTCTTCTTTGATGGCTCAATAACAAACCTATACAATCAAAAATCCTTTATTATTGCAGCTTTTTACTAATTTCTTCAGAGCTCGTTTTACAATGATTTGTTTCCACTCTCTACTCATAATAATGTATTTACACAGAGTATCTCACATTTCAGTTTACGGCCATTCTACGCGGGACACGGGCCTCTTCGCTAGGGTTCGCTTCGCCAACAATATAGGAAAGGGATTACAGAGAATTTAGAAAAAATTAAAAATATATCAATTTTCCCATAAAAGATTATTAGTGATAAAAATTTCATATAATGTTACCATCAAAATAATCAAAATTTGTTGAGAAAAGAAAAAAAATATCATGTCAAAATTAACTTATTTATTAGTTAAAAATATACTCTTTATGGAGAATTCTGCCTACCCAATCCTGTAATATTTTGTGATATCACTTGAGTATGATATTCCTTTTACATAAAAATAAAAAAACAGAACAAGCTTGAACATGGAATTAATAGGTTTATGAGTAATTTTATAATAATAGGATAATGAATGAAAAATAAATAATAACATATCCTCTAACACACTCTTATAAAAATAGTTGTCTCTCTTGTAACATAACAGACCTAAGTATATTCTTATGTTAATTTTAAAATAAAAATTGTTACCCGTGAATATTTTATATAATAAAAGTTCTTAACTAAAAGTAAAATGAATTCAATAAGAAAGTTCAATGTGCATATAAAACTAAGGTCAAGTAAAATGTTGTTTTCCTCATCTTTAAAGTATAGTATTTTTCTAAAAAATAAACTTTCTATTCTATCAAAAGGTTAATAACATTAGTTAGTCATTTATTAGTATAATCGTATTGTTCAAACTAGTTAATTTATATATATATATAAGTAAAAAATAAAAAAAAAGTTATATTAATTTTATTAAAGTTAATTGATGGCTTGGGATGCTTTAGGAGTACAGGGTAAAAATAATGAGAATTTATTCACAATTGATATACAGTTATTTAAGATGTTTTTAATTACAATTGTATATTAATAATTATAATATATATATATATATATATATATATATATAACATAATATAATTTATTCATATAATAAATCATTTCAACCATATAATATCAAATGAATTATATTTCTTTTTTAATGTTTGTATATATAAACTATGAAGCACCAAAGAAAAATTCATACTCCTAACCTAGAGTAAACTTTTTTTTTTTACTCTAAGTGGTGAAATGAGTGCAAGGAATATTTTGTACTCAAACAACTTTTGAATTTCATAATGGTAAGAAAGTGTGACTTTTCTAATAAAAATTCTTAAAAAAAAGTGAGTTTCCTGACATGATGTAGAAAATAATAATTTTAAAAATCTAAGTATAATAAAAAAATTATCCTTTTAAAAATCAAAGATTTCTCAACAACCGACTCAAATAATTATACTAAACAAAGTAAAAACAGTGAATTTATGCTCTCTTTTTCTTTGTTAAGAGTTGGCTAAAGCCATTACATGTAAAACTCTACATGGGAAAGTTATTCCCACAAAATCGAATTTATGCTTTCAAAAACATCTCATAAAGTACTTTATTATGTACTAAAACAGCATTAATTCCAAAATGTTGAAACTTTTTGGTATAAAAGAATAATTGGGTGAATCATGTGTGGTCGTAGGGAAGCTTCAAGTTTTTCTCACTCACTTCACTACCACTGTTTCAATAAATCTCTCTCACATGTCTCTTATTTTATTTATTTTTCTTTCCAAAATCATTTCACTAAAGTTATATTTAATTAATAGTATAAGTATTATACACTGTGTTTAATAATTTTTTTACTGTATAAATTACAAAAGTAAAATGTATTAAAAGTAAAAATTCATTCTATATAACTGATTTATAGATAATATCAAGAGAAGAGTAAAAAAATTACATTAATTTCACACTTCTCACTCAATACTCATGTAAAAAAGAAAAAAGTAATGTTGTACATTGCAATTTTCTCATGACATGATCTTTGAAAGTTGAGAGAAGTAACAAGGGAGGGAAAATTGGAAAGATTGGATGACAACAGAAAAGGAAATGAAAAGAAGTTAAGATAAAGAATATTTTGATAGAAACATGATGCTTTTGTGAAGAATTGGATACTATTCTAGGGTTCCATGCCAAGAAGAAAGATAGAAGAAAGCCAAAACAATGTTAACTTTTTAAAAAAACATATTTATGACATAAAATATAGAGAAGAAAAAAGGGTGTGCATGTGATGTGTCTTGAAGTGAAAGAAAATTTAGTGAGTAAGAAGGATAGGGATTGATGAGAAATGTTGTTTCACTAGTTTTGAATTTTCTTCCTTTCATCTCTCTCTTTTATCCTTTGCTTTACCACAGAAAAGGTTCCACTTATTGGTGGAATATTCATGCACCTATTTCATCTTTTCCATAAAACGAGATTGCCATAAGAAAAAGTGGGAAAAGTTGAACATCAAAAACTGAAAGTAACCCAACCAAAGTATATTCACATGAAGCTTTCATATATAATAGGGATATAGTGAATTTTAGAAGACTATAGTCATAGCTTTTCTATTGAAGTGATGAATTATTCCATACTTAAACCACTTCCAAACATGCCCTAAACTTCTATATTAATGCATTTTTGGATAAACTCTAATTAGATTTTTTAGATCATGTTTGATTCATCTTGAGAAGTAAGAAATGCTTTTAGTTTTTAACATTTTGGTTATAGTAAATTTTATTTTTACTTTGGTCTTAATAACTTATTGCTATACTTTAAGTGATTGATTGTTTATTAAGTAACAATGTGACTAATCAAGTAGGATGACACATCTATCTTCTTTTAAGTATTTGAAAAATATTACGATGAAGTTGAAAATATGAAAGTGGCATTAAAAAGTTAAAAAAATTGAATTTAACTCTATTCTATCTTTATAAAACAATTTATAAGAGAATAATTACCTTAAAGTAATATTGCTTTTGATTATATATTATGAACTAACTTTATTGTGCTTTTTAAGTTATTTTATTATAACATAAAAATAGAATTAGTTGTGCTTAAAATATTAATTTTGTTTAATCTTTAT